GGCTAACAACCATCTGTAACTCCAGTTCCAAGGGAATCCAACACCCTCCTCTGACTCCGAGGGCATTTCACAATCCAACTGTACTTACACACATGCAGGCAATACACTCATACACATAAAATATAAAAAAAGAAAGTTCAAATTATAATACATATTTGTCTGGAACATTTTCTAGAACCTCATGTTGGGGGAATCTCTTTTTTATTGAGATATAATCCACATATAGGAAAACTCATGTAGCTCCACCAGCCTCATGATATAGGACATTGCCAATACCTCCTCAAAGTTCTCCTGTCACTTTCCAGTCAACCCTCTGCCTTGGGCTGGTGAAGGCAGGGCCATCAGGGCCTGGTGATGGCAGATTCTGACTTTGCCAGAATGCCCGATCAGTGGAATCCCACATCCACAGCCATTGAGTCTGCGAGTTTCATTCGAGGTGTTCTTTGGTGCCCAGGGCACAGCTGTTAAGCTATTCTCCAGTTAAGATCCATTTATACAAGGCAGAACATGGTGACGCATGCTTTTAATCCCAGTACTCAGGAGGCAGAGGCAGGCAGATGTCTGTGAGTTCCAGGCCAGCCTGGTCGACATAGTAAGTTCCAGGCCAGCCTGGTTGCCATAGCAAGTTCCAGGCCTGTGAGACACTGCCTTAAAAAATAATAATCATCCATCCATTCATACAAATGATGCAAAGCAAAATAGGCCCCAGTGAACCCACAGAGGTCACACAGCCACCCGGGCCCACCTGGAGCACCCTTCATTTCTTTCCTGGTCTCTGCCTGTTGAAACTCCTCCTCACCTCTCCTCTCGGCTCTTTTTACATTTCCTCTTCCCAGCAGAGATGGTGTTTACTATCCCCATATCACACATCTGTAAAGTGAGGACCAGAGGCCTGTAGAACCCTCCCTGGGCCCACAACTCTAATTTAGCAAAGTCAGTACCCAAACCCAAGACCAAGGGGAAGGGGTGGCGCAGGCTAAAGAAGTGCTGGAGGCAGGTACCTGACCCTAGTTCAGCATGATTTGCTGGAAGGTGCTGGGGAAGGTGCTGCTGGTCTGATCCCTGGGCCTAGTACCAGCAGACTCCAGCCTCCAGTAGATCTCTTCCCTAGTACAGTGACTAGTGCCTGAGCCCAGGGCCTGCCCCAACCCCCATCCAGGCTGCTTTTGGTATCCAAAATCCCAGCCTGGCTTAACCATGTCATCTGGCTAGGATTATCCACCCAGGACCCAGGCCAGTGGGTGGGCTAGTAGGTTGTGTGATAGGATCCAGCTGTGAGCTGTTTGTGTTCCGCCCATTCACTTGCAGCCACAGGCCAAGTTGGGGGTGGGGGTGGGGGGGTCAGTGAGTCTGCTTTTAGGAAGTCCCAATCACTCAAGAGGACCCTCAGTCACCCTGAATCCTTGTCTGGACCTGAGGAAGGCCCTAGGCAACTTGGAACCTAGTCTGGGGTAGGAGGACGACCTTGGTTCTGAGAGGTGTGGAAAGGTGCCTACAAAGTCTCTGCTCAGGAAAGAACTTGCTGCTGACTGAGCTTGGGGCCTGGGAGTCTGCATTCTGATCCAGCTTCCAGGAGGCTCCTGCTACATGGAAGAGTCAGAAGACTACCTTGGCAGAGCTCAGTGTCCCCTAGCCACTTGTGGGCCCTAGGCAGCCATTCCATAGACCACCAGAGAAACTGAAGGAGAAAGCAAAACAGACTGGAAATTCACACTGGGATCCCAGCAGGCAGAACTTACTAGCAGGTTGTATGGGGAAAACAGAGGAGAAATCAAGGTCAAGGTCTGGGTTTGGGGCTTCAGAATTAGGAGGAGCTGTTCAGTGAGACAGGAACCAAGGGAATAGGCTGAAAGAGCTACGGGGACAGGGTTGGGGAGGGAGGAACCAGTCCATGAAGGATGCTGTGAAACGTTGTTTGGTTTTATTTTGGTTTAGATTTAGGTTTTAGTTTGTTTATGAGACAGGGTGTCTTATAGCCCAAGCTGGCCTTGAATTCACTATGCAGCTGAGGCTAACCTTAAACTCCTGATTCTCTTGCCTCTGCCTCCAAGTGCTGGTATTTCAGGTGAGCACCATCACACTCAGTTTGAGATGCTTCTTTTGAAAAACTATTTATTTTATTTTATCTGTATGAGTGTTCTGTTTGCATGCATTAAATGTACCATGTGTATGCAGTGCCAATAGAGGTCAGAAGAGGGTGTTGGATCCCCTGGAACTGGAGCTATGGATGGTTGTTCGGTGCCATGTGGGTGCTAGGAATCAACCCCACAGCAAGCATTTTAACTGATGAGCCATCTCCAGCCCCACAGAGATGCTTCTTTGAAACCTATATAGAGATGGAGGGATGCCCAGGAGAGAGGTCCTGGTGGGAAAGGGTAACTCTCATGGAGCTGTGGAAATCCTAGGAGCAGCCCAACACCTGGGCCAGCGTTTCAGGGTGTTTGGAGTCATGGGCCCTTCAGTATCTGGCCCTGGAGGACATCTATGGATTCTCCCAGAAATACGAAAAATCAACAGGATACAGAGGAACATGCCTGTGACCCTAGCACTTGGGAGGCTAAGGCAGGAGGATTGCTGTGAGTTCAAGGACAGCCTCCCAAATGATAAGCTACAGGGTTGAGACCTTGTATCAAAAAGCCACACATACATACACAAAAGATACACAATCAAGGATCTTAGAACACCAATAATATTGAAATTATAATTCAAATATTAAACAACAAATTGGAAATGAAGTTAGTGCCTTACCCAAGGGGTAGGCTGATAACTTCCATAATTCATGGTCATACCAGGAAAAAATAACATGCAAAGCCCTGCTGACATTGTGTGGAAGATGCATGCATTCAGGATATCTCTTGGCTGTGGTGTTGCAGGACCTGTTGGGCCTGCTCTACTTTGTGGTCTGAGCTCAAGTTGATGGAAAAGCCAAATCATAATCACAAGCCCATGGGTGGATATCACTGTGGGCTCAGTCAACAACATGGACCCTGAATTCTCTTCATAGACAGTCTGGTCCCCTATTGAAGACCCCTGGCCTAGGCCTAGATGTTTAACAAACCCTACAGGAAGACAAGTCCAGAACCTATGTTGATAGCAGGTTCAGTAAGAAGGGGCCCCGAAGTGTTGTGTGGAGTCAAAAGATCACGACAAAGTGAACTAAAGAGCAAAAAGCAAGGCTCGGGGGACAGCTCAGTGGGTAAAGCACTTGCTACACAAGCATGAGGACCTGAGTTTGGATTCCCAGAACCCATGTAAAGCCAGGCAAGGTAACACAGGTCCGCAATCCCAGCATTCTGCAGTGAAGCTGGTGGAGACAGGAGAATCCCTGGAAGTTCTGGGCCAGTCTAGTGTGCACATCAGTGAACAAGAAACCCTGTCTCAAATATGGCGGAAGGTGAGGACCTATACTCCAGGAGGTCCTGGGAGCCACTGGAAAAGGCTGGGGCATTTGTTTTTAAATGAGATCTGTGTGCTGCCAAGAAGGCCTGGGGCTTCAGGGAAGGCTTAGGGCTGGTGATGCTGCAGGGGCACAAGAAACATGAAGGCCAGAGGCCTGGAGAAGCTTCCATGCTGGCCCTGCTAGTCCCCCTTCCCTGTACTCTCCACTGAAGGGTCTCTGTTTTATCTGGAAGCTTGCTAAAGCACACAGAGATGCCTGGTTCCACATTCAGTAGGGCTGGGCTAAGCTAGGAATTCTACATTTCTAACCAGCTGTGAACCAAAGGACCACACTCTAGGCGACCCCAGCATTGTCCCAGCCCACTGCTGGGATTTGCCAATGGAACCTGCTCCTTCCAAACTGCTCAGGGCAAGAAGAAATGGGTGGACAAGTGAGACAGAAGAGGGTCGCAATGAAGGAGGAAGCAGTCTAAGCCTGGCCCCCAGTCAAGATCATCACCCTCCCTTCAGAGCCTTGGCCTTCCCAGGGACCCTGTGAGTCCCTGGAAGCCTGATTGTTGAGTGAGAGACCAAGGGCACACCCAGGCAGTGTATATAGCCAGGAGCAACCCTGCCTCAGCAGGGAGCCCAAGAACTTGCTGTTCACTTTTCCAACTTGATCCTGGTTTCGCACCAGACCAGCATCATGGCTCTCAGGAAGAGGGCAGCATCGCCAAAGAGTGTCAGCTCATGGAGTTCAGGGCCCTCAGATGCTATGAGTTCAGCCCTGTTTGGCAGTCAGATGAACCTACAAACTTGGACAAGGGAGAGATGTGAGCCCACCCCACTGATGGCTGGCTCTCCCCTAGGAAAGGGCACAGGATAGGGGCCACACTCTGACCCTTGCTGCTCCCCTCTTTCCCATCGATTTCTTGAAGACAATTATTGAGCATCCACTGTGTACCTAGCATTATGCTAAATGTGGAGATGAAGCATTGAGTAAGACTGAGTCCCAGGCTTCATGTAATTGGCATTCTGGAGAGTAAAAGGGACAAAAGACAGAGAGGTGGGCAGCATGAAGCCAAGGATTGAGGAGTGCTTGGAGCCACCTGGAATGAGTCATGTGAGTGGGGAGAGGGTTCCTAAGGGAGTACAGAGGGAATTGTAGGTGCAAAGGCCCTGAGGTGGGTACATGCCTGCTGTGTACAAGGGGGCGTGTGGAAGCCTGGTATGTGGAGTAGAGGGAAGGAAGGAGAGAGGGAGGGAACGATGGAGAAAGGGGGAGGGCAAAGCCAGCCATGGAGGAACCTGTAGTCAAGGAAAACCAGCCCTTCTTAGAGATGGGAACCCTGGGATGGTGCAGAACACTGGAAAGGTACAGCTTACCTGCAGCGTATTAGGATCCTTCTGACTGCCCAGAGGGGGACAAACTGTTTAGAACAAGGTGAAGGCAAAGAGGCCACTGGGGTAGTTCTAGGAGAGGGTGCAGTGACCTGACATGGCACTTCCTAAGCTAGGTTCTTGCCCCCAGATGTTATGTGTCCTGCCCTGGAGCCTTAAGGGAGGGACAGGAGGTTTCTCCCAGCCCCCTCCCTTCACCCCAGCCCTCGGTCTCTCAACAGCTGGAGCAGTCCATCCAGATGAACCTGAAGTCAAATCTGGCACAGGCCCAGCAGCACGTGGTCCAGAACCAGACCACCACCATGCTGGAGCTAGGAGCCAACATCGTGAACCAGACCACAGCACAGACCCGCAAGCTGACCTCCGTGGAAGCGCAGGTAACAGAGTCACCAAGAAGCCAGGCTGCTCAACCAGGCCTCTTTCCCTCGACCTCTGTCTTGGGTGAAGTCAGAGCTTCCTCTGGGCCCAAAGTCCCCCACCCCCTCTTCTTGATGATCTGTTCACATAACCACCTCCCACCAGTGGGCCTGGGTCCTCTTTGTCAACCCAGTTCCAAGACTGGACTGGGCCCTAGCAGGGAAGACAGCATTAGGACAGCCCCTGCTCCAGGCTTAGGGTACCCTGCGAGTAGTTAGATGATGAGTCTGTTCTGATTAGCCTCAGCAGGACAATTGGAGCAGCAGTGAGGGAGGGACCAGGAAATAGCAAATGTGTGATTTGTGGGCACCTGTTTGCTGAACCCCTACTGTGTGCCAGGTACCATGTGAGATCCTGGTTCCCATTTTGAGCAGTAAAAAGCAGGCATGCCTCCCTTGCCCTGGGGTTCATAGAGAAGGCAAGCAGGTTAAACAGTCTCTGATTGTTACATGGTGACTGAGAGAACAAGCCGGGTGGGTGAGTAGGGTGGGAGGCTGCGAGTTCAGGCAGCAAGGCCAGGAGGACACTGAAGTGCAAGTAGGACATGGGTCAGATTGCTGAGAGAACACACCAGACAGGAAAACCAGCAGGCACCAAAGCCCAGAGGTAGGGCCTTTGTCTTGCCACTCTGGGAACATGGAGAAAGCCAACACACTGGGGCGGGGGTGGGGAGGGCAGAGAGATGGTAGAGAGAAACTGAGTTATGGGCTGGGCAGGCCATGGTGGGGACGGGCTTTCCACAGGAGAATTTTGAGCAGAGGGGCCACAGTGTGAAATGCCGCCTCAGGCTGCTGAGTAAAAAAGGGATGTTGGGGACAGGGCAGGAGCAGTAAGTCCTGTGAGGCCGGTGCAGGACACTGGGTGAGAGATGACAGATACCAGGGCCAGAGTGGAGACCTGGATGGAAGGAAAGTGGTTAAGGGCCATTTGGAAGTAGAACTGACAGACTGGATGCAGGGTCAAGGATGGGCCTCTGGGGCCCCAACAGCAGGAAGGTTGGCACTGTTGTGCACTGTAACAGAGGAGGGCAAAGTAGGAGCAGATGATCAGCTAAGGAAGGGCCTATGAGCTGTGGTAAGTTAGTGACCATGGGAACTGATAGCTTAGAAAGTAGCAATGGGTCAGCAAACTTCAAGAGTAGCAGGCCCTCAGCAGGAGATTGGTAGCTGACCAGGGCTACCACAGGACACACACAGCACACTCCTCCAACAATGTTCCTGCTTGTTGGAACAGGTCCTGAACCAGACATCACGCATGGAGATCCAGATGCTAGAGAGTGCACTATCCACCAACAAGCTGGAGAAGCAGCTGCTGTTGCAGGGCCACGAGCTGCACCGGCTTCGGGGCCATAACAGGTGAGCAGGGACAGCAGTGGATGTGACTCCACCCTGAGCCCCAGAGCTGGGGCTGGAGTTGGGACTAGAAGCTGGACCCAGGCCAGTGTTGGGGATGGGGCTGGGGTCTGGATTTGGACTGTGGTAAGGGACCATTGTGGGGTTAAGCTGGGATGAAGCTGGATAAGGAAAAGAACCAGGCTTGGAGTCCAGACAAGCTGGGTAGTGCTGGGGCAGGGCTAAGCCCAAGCAGCACGGAGCTTGGCTCCCAACATTGGGTAATTACAGAGATCAGATATTTTCCTGTGACTTAGGACACCTTGATTCTTTCTCTCTTCTTCCCTTCTTCCTTTTTGTGGTACTGGAGATCAAACCCAGGGCTTTATACATGTTAGGTAAGGACACTGAGTCACATCCCCAGCCCTTGGTTGTTTCTTTGTTTTGCTTTGTTTTTCTTTTTTAAATGTTTATTTTTTTAATTTTTATTTACATGTACATGTCCATGTGTGGTGTGGTGTGGTGTGGTGTAGTGTGTGTGTGTGTGCGCGTGCGTGCGTGCGTGCGTGTGTGTGTGTGTGTGTGCAGGTATCTGCAGAGTCCAGAAGAGGGCATTAGATCTCCTGGAGCTGGATTTATAATTGTCAGCTATGCAACATGGATGCTAGAACCAAACTTGGGTACTCTGGAGGAGACTCTCATAAGTGCTCTGAATCTCTGAGTCATCTCTCTAGCCTATGCTTTTCTTTTTTTGAGACAGGCTTTCACTATGTAGTCCAGCTGGCCTCCTCCTCTTGCTTCAGCCTCCTGGGATGATAGGTGTCTGCCACCCCACTCGTCTCTCTCTGTTTCTATTTAAATTTTCATTGCTTTATTAAGATACAATTTTCATGGGCTGGAGAGATGGCTCTGTGGTTAAGAGTACTTTCCACTCTTCCAGAGGACCTGGGATTGGTTTCTAGCACCCACATGGCAGCTGACAACAGACTGTAACTCCAGTTCCAGGGGATCTGATGCCATCTTCTGGCCTCCACAGACATTGCATGGGGGTACTCACATAAACACAGGCAAAACACTCATAGCCATATAATTAAAAAATAATAATCTTAGCAAGGCATGGTGGCACATGCCTTTAATCCCAGCACCGGGAAGCAGAGGCAGACATATCTCTGTGATTTTGAGGCCAGCCTGACCTACATAGCGAGTTCCAGGCCAGTTGGGGCTATAGGGAAACCCTGTCTCAGATCCCCCCAAAAATCTTTTTTAAAAAGATACCATTTTCACACCCTATGATTCACCTTGAAGAGTTTATTTTTTTGAGGTAGGGTTTCCCTATAGTCCCAGCTGACCTGGAGCTCACTATTATACCAGGCTGACCGAGATCTCACAGAGATCTACCTGCCTCTGTCTCCCAAGTGCTGGGATTAAAAGTGAGTGCCACTGTACCAGGCCACCTTGTAAATTCTAACTGACTTTCCTTAGCTGTAAATACACAAGACTGACCTGATCCACCCACATGCCCTTCTTGGAGAAAACAGTTCCCAGGATCTTCCACACTGTCAGTCTGGTAGTATATGCAAATATGTTCAGGGAGCCCCTTAACTTACACAGACATATTAGAGACAAGTCAGGGAAATCTATCTGGTTGTAGCTAAATGTAAATAAACATAACTGTCAAAGTCAGGGTTCTAAGGGAGGCAAAATCTATCACTCAACAAACCCCAGGAACAGGATGAGAGGTTACTGTGGTTCAAGTACTAGATCAGGAAAAAGCCAAAAGGCTTGCCCATGCCCTTTTCTCTGGGTTTTACTCTTATTTTAAATTTTTGTTTATTTTTATTTATGTGTATGAGTATTTTGTCTACATGTATGTAAGTGCACCATGTATGTACAATGCCAGCAGAGGCCAGAAGAGGGCATGGAACCGGAGTTACAGATGGTTGTTATACGCCATGTGGGTGCTGGGAACTGAACCCAGGTCCTCTGCAAGAGCAGCCAGTATTTTTAACTGTTGAGCCATCTCTCCAACCTCCTGGGTTTTATTCTTATTCCCACACCTCACAGTCTAGGTAGCAGAGACTGGGACACTGTCAATCACTCAGGATTCTTAACAGGTGCCTAGAACCCAGTGATGATAGAAGGGGTTATCAGTTAGCTCTAGACCTATAAGGACACTCTAGAGGTAGAATGTGCCAACTTCTCTCTTCTTACATTAGAATTTGAGACCTGGGGAAATTTCTTCTGCTCTGGTTGGACTTGTTTCTCTCTTTTTTAGTTGTGTGTATATATGATGTGTCTTGTGTGTATGTGTGCACATGCCACAGTGCATGTGAAGAAGTCAAAGGATGACTTTGAGGAGTAAGTTCTCTCCTTCCACCTTCAAATGGGGTCTGGAGATTGAATTCAAGTCCTAATGCTTGTATGGTGAGCACTTTACCCACTGAGCGGTCTCACCAGCCCCTGGACTCTTCTTAATCACATGACTGGATACAATGAAACATCACCCTCCCAATCCCGGGCCTCAGTGCACTGAAATCTGAAGTTCCTGTTCCCGTTTCTTGTACATGGCTTTCAATCAACAGGTATTTTCTGGTTTCCCTTTGCCACACTATGACAAACACAGGGGGTCCAGAAGTGAACAAACGCTCAAAAACCCGTCTCTGTGGAGCCAGTGAACGCTAAGCTGCTATCCCAGAGTTCCATGTGAACATGCAAAAAAAAGAATGTAAGATTCTTCCTGTAGCTTTCTGAAGCCTAAACCTGCCTCCTGCACTGCATCTGTTATCTTAGAAATGGATCTGCTGTTGTTTATTTCTTACTAAAGAGTTAGTTTATTGAATATTTCATTTAAGCCAGTTTCTCTGGTTGAGGAAATCATTAAAGTTTCTTTTTATCTATTTATTTATTTTTTTTAATTTATTTATTATTTATTTATTTATTTTAATCCACAGAATTCCAATTAGTGCTGCCCCTGTGTACATGGGTGTGGGATCATTCACTGGGGCATGGGCATCATACCAGTGGCCACTGTCCCCAAAGAAAAAGAATTTTCCCTCCTCCAGCAGCCACCAACTTCCAATAGGTCTACAGCTAGGGGTGGGGGCTAGTAAGTGCCTCCCCCCAACCCATGCTGGATTTTGTTGTTTTGTTGGGGTTTTTTGTTTGTTTGTTTTGTTCTGTTTTGTTTAGACAAGGTCTCACTATGTAGACCTGGCTGGCTTGGAACTCACTGCATAGACCGTAGAGCCACCTGCCTCTGCCTCCCAAGTACTGGGATTAAAGGCATGCACCATCATACCCAGCAGGAAAGTGGGGAGGGAGAGAGAGGGAGGGGGGGAGAGGGAGAG